CTTCGAATTCTTTACTCATTGCTATGGTAATGAAAAGAAGAGATGGAGGTGTAGCGGTTCCTTTCCGTCATCCCCACCCTATTTGAGCCCTTTAGTAAAAATGTATTCTTTATTTCTGAAAACTTTTTTGGCAACTGTTCAATAACTATAATCAAGTGAATTTAGGATCGCCTTATTCTATCTCTTCAAAATGCTTATTTTTTGGCTATAACAGTGGAAAATAGATTATGTTTCACATTCAAGCATTTCTCGCCGAACAGAGTCTTTTTCGTAAGTAATTTGTTATAATTAGATAGGGGAAATCTTGAAAACTTCAAGGGTGTATTTGTTTTTCTGAAAAAACTCCTTGGAGCGCAGTAACAGTCAAAAGAAGATTAGATTTTCGCAAATTCGGATCTTTTCCGATGCCCGCATGCTGTTTTAACCTCTTGAGAAAAGGCGTTTTCTAATTCTTTTGAGAGATCTACAAACTGCTTAATAGTTGCAATCTTGTCAATTTTAAAGGTAGGCCTTACTGTCAAAATGGCTATTAATGTGCTCCCACATTTGAATAAATAATCTTCTACATTCAAGTTCCTAGCTGAACAAGCTTTCCGTTAAACTCTTGAAAATGTTTGATAGCTAAGTATAGGCTATTTCTTAGTATCTTGTCTATGAAGCAACTCTGTTACACTGTAGCACCCAAAGAATGCTTTCGCACTAAGGGTATGTTGCAAAAAGCGCGGTGACTTGAGGCCAGAGTCGTGAAATCCCACCTTTTCAAGGGCGAAATCCATCTTCTTTTGACTGTTACAGCGCTTCAAAGAATGCTTTACAAAAATCAATTACATTTTTGAAATCTTTGAAATTTGCGCTATCGAACGGTTGTTGATTAGCTTGTAGAGAATACTCTAGCGGTGAGAAATTGTTAAGTGTAAAATAAAATTTATTTCAACTGTCACAGCGCAAAAAACAAGGCATTTGTAAAATAAAACATACTCTCAAAGTTCACTTGATCTAAGCTATCAAATGAATATCGAAAGTTCAATAAAATAGATCTTTTCTAGGAAAAACCAAGGCTCACGCACAAGCCTTGAAATGCGGCAGCATGCGAGAGAAATTTTTTTCAAAAGTAAAGATTTTCAAGATAGCTGAAGCGTCATTCTGCTCAGAAATACGTTTACAAAAGTTCTACCAGTAATAACTGAAGTTTTTTTTAGCAAGAAAGTTTATAAGAATCGTAATCTAACTGCATAATCTCAAAAATTCTTTATGAATTAGAAAAGTTGGGTCACTATTGTGAAGACACAATCTTTGACTTATTATTAGAACTCACTTTGGGTTGAAACAACAAGCTTGCTATAAAAATCATAATCTCTCAACTAACGATTGAATACAAAATATGAAGAAGATAGAAGAAATTTTTCAGTTACAGTTGAGAATTCAACCCTTTTCGTAAATTTATGATTTGTTGCTTTGAAAAACGAAAGATTATAGGCAGCATTAGCAATGATCTTGCTAAAATCATTCATACAAGAATCTCATCGGCGATATTCTATCATTTTTCAGATGATCATGTTCTTCTGAGAACTTAAGTAACCTAAAAATTCTATTGAGCGAACACCACTCTTCGTAACCGTTCGAAAGGCGCTCCCAGCTGATGGTCATAATGACCCTCATCGTCCGCAAACGGATAAGCAATTTGAAAACTGCAGAACTTCTACTCGAGTGCTCATCCTTCTCTCAGCGGTGTCAACTGAGTCGTGTTAAAGATCAATAAAATTTCTTCTACCTACACCAAACTGCAATAAGAACAAAAACTGTAGTACTTGGGATTGCTCTACAGAAAGAAATGTTAGAAGCAAACTGAGAATACTATACTAGAGCGTAGTACGAACATGGGCAACGCACGAACATAGACATATTTCGGGTTCATTACATATTCGTCGAGTGCGTAAATTCGCTCGTATCTCAGCAACCTCACACTAACGTCATTCGCACAAAATTAACTTTATATAAAGGATAAAAGGATAAAGTTCTCGGCGTTAACCAATCCTTGAGAGATGCGCCATGCATTCGTTTTCAATTTATACTTCGTTTAAGGTGATTGAATGCATATCGTCCTTTACAATTACTCGCGGTGGGCTCCCAGTGAACCGAGTCAGTGCTGCTTATCTTCCCAGACAGTTCTGAGACCACTCTGGTACCAATATACAGACCCCGGAAGGATGGATGGCTTGGTGACCCATAAACGCGAGATCGAACCACTAACTTCGTGTGCGACGCAGAGCATCTCTAAACACTACGCCACATGCGCTGTACCTCGGTGGTATAGTGGTAACACGCGCCCACGGTATGGAACTTCATAGAACACATTTGAAAGTTTACTTAACAGCGCTTACTAGGAAGTTAATAAGTGGACTTGCAGTTGCTCCAGTAATCTAAAAGACTCCATATGACCACAAATTAGTAAAACTGTCGTTCAAAACCATCAACAATACACAAAGCCTTAAGTGAAGCCTAAATCGAACTCATATGGATGTAGTTTCACATAAGTTATCACGTGTAGTAACACACTCTTGCAAACTTTCGCTAATTCGTGCTCCAAACGCACGAATGTCCAACGTATAGCTTGCTGAGTCTTGAAAATGGCAGCTGTATACTCACAGATAACATGCCAATCTCTTACGAAATGGCAGGACTTATTTATTGAGGAAACTCCTAACCGCCTTCAGTGCCTTTCCCAGTTACTTAGTTGCAGACTTTTTGGCCAATTTGGATCATAGAAATCGACGCAGCAGGATAAGGACTACATCTTAGGGGTGTACCTAGTCGTTTTTGGTCTGCGTTTAATTCCCCTCCCCACCATTTGTGGACAAGCCACGTGGCCTGGCGACTAGCCGGCCAGAGGTTCTTCTATGATGGAGATCCGTGGATTCATGTACGTGAATTTATTCGAGGAACTAACCATCTCAAAAGGCACTTAGAGGTAAAACGACGTAGACCATACTGACACTGGTTCGTAGTTTACAGAATAGCATCAAGCTATAACGAAAGCAAGTCAAAAGCATCCTATGTGGACTTATCTAAGCTCTTCAGAGATGACCTTACTTTGGAGAATGTCATATTGGAAATCACGTATCAGATAGAACACGGTGAGATTCTGCCTAAGTTTACCACCAAGATCAATAACATTGATGTAACTTACAGCTCCAGAAGCGTCACACTCAACAGTGGACATGGGAGTCTCCTGATGTACATGAAGTCTAATGTAGAAATATGAGCGTGGTCTTAAGGAAACACTCGAAATAAAGGTTGTAATATTATGAAAATACCAGACAAAGAGCAATTGAGTGTAAAACACTGTAAGTTCGGTGATATTTTCACTTGACTTACAGTTTAAATTGTTCGTCTTCGATGCCTCTCTGTAGGGTGAGCAGGATCCCGAGAGGATTAGCTCATAAAAAGATTGAAAGACGATGGGTTCTGCCTGACTGACGAGATTTACGGTCGAAACACGTGTATCTGGCTTTACAAGAGCCCTTACCACACCACATGAACCTCAAGAAAACACTCGAAACAAAGGTATAATGTTATGAAAATACCAGCCAAGGCTGTGTGATACATCCAAGTAGTATAAAAGGGCGACTGCACGAGTTCAGATATAATATACTTGATATCTTGTAAGGCATGTGGGATGAATACATAGGCGAAACGAGTTATCCACTCTGTCCCCGCATAAATGAACACCTGAATAAAGAGTCGAAAAATCGTGAAAAATTTTTTTTAGAAGCATACAGGGCAGATAGACACAACGGTAACGATTTAGAGGTGGTAGTGAGAATCGTGGGGCACGAGTCACAAACATTCATGCGGAAAACCCATGGAGTCTTACGGATAAATTTCAAAATCGTAATTCATTCGATTCACACAACATACACAAAATTTGGCAGAGTGCAAGTAAATATTATAAAATTGACATTTGTAAACGGTCCAGAATGATTCCTTCAAGCAGAAGGATAATGGGGAAGGACATTGAGCGGGTGTAGTATTTGAATATCAAGCGTTTGGTTCTCATTTATTTGCATTCAAATCGTCGCATGTTACACCTAATACTGCTTGAAAGGTCAGATCTTTCTGTAGCGTTACAGAAAGTCCCCTTAACAAAGCAAAACGCTCATTATGTGTTCTCGAATGAAGATATTGAAGTGCTTTGTAGCAGTTATACCTCGAATAACTGCTACTTTCCTTTCTCTTCTACGCTTATTACTATCGCATATCATCAAATAATCAATATTTTAGTTGTGGATAATAAAAAGGTCAAGCAATGAGTCATAACGTTGGTTGACGAGTTCAGTCGGCGGGTGGCAGGACACAAAAACTTTCGAGCGACGGACATGTGCACTGCACGCTTTCGATGACAATTTATTCGCCTCAAATTGCTTCGAAGCAGTAGCCGACATCCAACCTATTGCTCACGTTCTTAAATCGTCTGAGCCGTTCACCTCTCTTAGTATGAATGTGTTCTCCACGCTCATGCTCGTAAGGACGATGCACGCTCGTGGTCACGATGATGCTGGATTGCTCACTGCGGTCGCCTCACACCTCCATCATGTTGTATCTCACCAAATTTCTCAATGTCGTACTTGCTCACTGCAGAAGCTTCACCTATCGCTTACTACAACAATTTATCCATTAAAACTTTCACTTACTTTTCGGCAAGTTTGAACTAGAATTTCCTAAGTTCTCTCCTAGTAATGAGGCTGCATAAGTCTCTACTGCCATATCAATCCACTTCTTGATCACTGCGTTAGGCTCAACCTCATTAACACCCTCCCGCCCACCTGGATGTTGTGCTTGACCATGCTTTTACATATAACAAAGGCGTCTTTGGTCTCACAAAAAAATTTTTTTTACAATTGTGGCCTTAATCAGTCATAATTCTTTCTATTTTAACTGCCACTTACACTGGTATGATGTTATTAGTATACCCAATATGTGGAGTACTGTGCAAAAACGTTTGCGTTAGCGGGGATTCGAACCCAGATCTCACTCTTTCCGAGAGCTTATGCTAACCGTTGCACTACCGACGCTAGTGCACTTTTGTTTTTGCACAGTACTCCACATATTGGGTATACTATTGGCAACGTTTTTGCACAGTACTCCACATATTGGGTATACTAATTGTGGCCTTAGTTCAAAAGCAGTCGATTGAAAGGCTACGTCTATATGCTCGATAATAGTTGTAAACCATCGACTGAAAGAATGGCTGAGACCACAACTTTATGTTGACTTGATCGAACATGTTTCCACGTCCCTACTATCAGTAGGGTTGAGTAGTGGGGCGTGCGGCTGCAATGAGGCGGGCGGCACTGCTGAAACTTACGTAAGCCACTGACATACTAGTCTCGAAGAGGCCCAGAGCGTTCTCCCGGACTACAATGAAAGGCCAAGGGTTATTTCCACTCAAACGTTATTTTGCTCCAGCCTATGCATGTGGAATTTCCAGCTGAATTGTTTGAGAGCAGAATTGTTGTTGGCTGTATGTTTGATCAAAGGTTAGAGTAGAGTATAAGAATGCTATAAGCTATATGATTTGATCGGCAGAGCACCTATTGTCTAGCCCGTTATTACTTGAAAGCTCAGACCTCTTCTGTACTTTTACAGAGAATCTCCTTAACAAAACAGGAGTTCAACCCATAGTGCACGGTATAAACAGTCACATACTTTGCAAACTCCTTTTCTTTTGGTTCGAAGTTGAGAATCTCATCAGTAGAGTTCTTACCTTATTTACTTGAAGACGTCATGATTTTGTAACTGCCAACATACGCGCAGTGACGAATTGTCAGTAAACAAGTGAAGATGGAGGCAAAAGCGTATCACCTAAGAGAGTATCTGTCATTTACAAGATAGTCTACCTCCCTTGCAAATGACAGTTTGCACAGCAATTTCATGCCGCGTGTGGCCTCACTTTAATGAATACCTCAACAATGTGACGTCAAACCAGCTCAGTGGGAACTAGTTTTGAGCCTGATACTGTCAGACAAATACACGATGAGCGAGTGTGAGAGAAAATTTGACGTCTCAGTAGCAAGCCGCCACATGTATTTTTCTTGTTTCACAAAAATTTCGAATAAGAGAAGTATCAGATATCTCACTTCGTTTACTTACGTTTTTCCATTTCAATTGACAGCTTTGCATTAGCAACAGATTCCGTGCATCTGGTCTTTGCTATATATCTCTATTATGCATTTTATGTATTTTTATGCATTCGATTGCTAAATCCGCCTTGTTTAATGGCATATGTAAGCTACTTGAGCTCAAAAGTCAAAAGTTATATCGAACAGTATGCTTCTCTACACGGCTAACCGTCCTTGTTAAAAGAATCTTTTAAGTGATTTGTATAACCCTGGCCCTTATCAATGAGACAGGTTCTTACAGTGATCGGGTGCTGAGAGGGTCATAAATCATGCTATATGATAGGCAAGCAAGAGTGTCTTAATTTTTCTACAAAGTATAGCAAAGTTATCAACGTAAAACAGAGTGTTTGCTGGAGACCCTGCTAAATTTATAAGGTAATTTAAGTATACTTTTCCCTGCAGCACAGTCTTGAGAACATAATAGAAGAGTTGCTTGAGAAACTTGTCTTTAACAGATTGGTCGTGAAGTTAAGCATTCATCCAACAACTCTTAATCGAGAATAAAGTTGTCTACGAAGCTTAAAAGTAGTCAAGATGAGTGAGTGGTGGCTCTACTGTGTATCCTTTTAAGGTTGACTAATGTCGTGACAATGCTAATAATCTTGATCAGACTCTTTTATTGGGCTTCATGTGAAAAATATCTCGGACTATGAATCTTATCAGCACCTTGCACTATTTGTATTGTAGTGCGTCACTACTAGGTCGCTTAGATGTCTCAGCTATGATGTAGACAAATAGCATTGCAGAATTCCTTTATCAATAGCAGTGATTATGACCCTTTACTCAGCAAGACCGTGAATTCAAAAACTTGACCTGTAGGATTTGATTTTCGTCCACTATAATCACAAATGAAGATAGATAATGCTTAATCCTGCTAGAATATTCACTCTTCCCTGACCAGTATATTTTTGCAAGAGTTTTACATTAATAAAAACCAAGTACAGCTAGTATCGGTAACTGTAAGGTTTTGATCAACCAACGGATGTTATCAGTCTAATATATAGGTATAGAAAGTGCGAGAAATGAAGATGAGCAGCTTTTTCAAGCGTAAGGAATTCAAGCGGACAGGTCCTTTGTTGATTAGCCAGCTTTGTATATTAGTTCAGCTCATAGATTGTGTGCTCATAATCCATGTGGCTCAGTGCCTTAATGTCCACAATTTAGGAATGAAGCTATATCTAGCCGCTTGTTTTGACTTGAATATGTAAATAAATGGAGAAAATCTATGGAACTGTCCAATGACAAATGATATTGAGCACCATTGTGAACCACTACTGATAACACAATGATCATTAAACAACGAAATTATGGGGTCGGGAAACTCTTAAAACACTGTTCTAGCTACGGAATTGCATTTACAAGTTGATTCTTCTGGTCAATAGATGATTTGCAGTAACAAACCTTTACTAGTTTCAATTTCGTACAGTGTGACTCTACACCGAGATAATCCTAGCATATTTGGGTTTGGATTATTCTCACCAAAGGTTGCGTTTCTACGATTTGAAACTTCCAAGTAATTTGACGCTGTATATATTTGACGGTCAGTTTCCCGCTCCATTTGCGACGAATTTATGTCACAAAATATCGACGTTTCGCTTTATCAGCCACACAAGGCCATTCATTCTGTTGAACATTTAGCTGCAATTTTGCCTATCACTTCTGTTATGTGCGACCATCTTCAATCGTTTGGCAATCACACCATTTATACTGCTTTCAAGAATTTTAGTAGTCTTCTGGTAGCTCAAATCTAACAACCTTTATGATGTACTTTTTTTTCTGAAAAGACCTTCCTTTGCGCTGTAGCAGGAAAAGCAAAATTGAGTTGCACAGTCGGCGTGTTTTCTCTGAACAGAGCTTTTTTCTCACCTTTTAAGTATCATTCGATACCTTACTTCTTGACGGTTTTCAGTACTTGGTTTTTTTAAAAAGATTTTCAGTGTGCTGTAACAACAAAAAGAAGATTGGGTTTCGCACTCGGCTCGCATTTCTTGTCGGCTAGGGTGTGTGAGTAATTACAATGTCGGTCGCGCGATTAATTAATCATGTAGAGCGATACACATGTGGCGCCCGATCTTTGTTATCAAAATAACGGTTTTTTTCTCTTCTTTGAAAAACCTTTAGATAAAACGTTTAACTCCACGATTCTTACTATACGTCCATAGGTTCGTGAATAGGTTTAGGCTAATTAGGCCTAGGCTTAGTAACGGGTTTATTTGGTAATATAAAATGAAAATGAAAAGCTCACACTCATAGAACGGTGGAACAAAGTTCCGCTTGCAATTCCAATACGGAAAAGCTAGAATTTCAACGCAACGCAAAAGAATTCTCAAATAAGTAACGAAAATCGCACGCTCTCTAGGAGGCACTGAGTTCTCTGTGTGCAGTTCTTTTGAGTGCAACAGCACTCTGAGACCTTTTCAGAAACCAGGTGCAATTTTGAAATTTACGAGATTTAGGCTTGCGAATGAATTCAAAAGTACGTGCTAGAATGCGAAGCCCAATCTGCTTTTGGTTGCTACAGTGCATTAAAAAGAACCACAAGCGTGGAAGAAAAGCTTTGACCAGCGAAAAACACTCCGGGTTTGAGACTTGGTTTTATTTTCGCTGTTGCAGTGCAACAGAAGGGTCTCCTCAGAAAAGTACACCATTAAAGATTTGTAGATTTGAGTTATCGAGTGACTAAGAGTCCAAAAAAGAGCAGAAATTGCATGAATGCCGAAGAGTTGAAGATGGTTGGAGATAACACGATTTTACCGCTTTCTGCCTATGTGGTTATTCGGTTTCACAATATTACAGATTACATGAAATTATGAAGTGAGATAGCAATCGCTTATTAATCAAGACTGGTTGCTCTTCACTCCACACATGGTAGACTACAATGCTAACACGATAATTTTTGATTTTTGAATAAGCAAAAAAGTTAAGCTGTCTAAAGTTTGAATAGAATGTACTTTCCTGCACTTTTGCCCTATTAGTCTGTCAATTCCTCCAGACCTGTTTCTAATCTAAGCTTTGTAATTCAAGCTTTTAGAGATCTGTGAAAAAACGAATCAAAATTCGTAAAGTTCAAAATGGACCGCAATACTACGGCAAGCATCATTTGTATGTTGTGGGTAGGCATCTTGTGCATGGAGACAATTCTCTGCCTTGTAGAGAATATTCTCTATTTTACTTAGAGTACCAAGAGGTACAAAAGCATCAGATAATCGCGATTTCATCTTAAAGAATAAAAAAACATTATTTGTACTTTGAATATAGGCAAATTTTTGGTTTATACTCCAATAATGTTCATCATGGGTCAAAATGTGTTTGTTGGAAGTTGAAAGGATACATTGTCTCGAGGCACTTTAGGCATCACTAGGCATGACAAGCCCGTAAACCACAGAGCGGAAGTGATGCATCGTAGCGAATATAAAGCAGAAGTCAACTAAAGTTCTTGAAAGAATTTTTTCCGAAAACAATTTTTGAGGTTCTGATCACTACCAGGTGCACTATTCTTTTTGACGTTACCCCATCACAACAGATGATCAATTCAACTTTTTTTCTCAAGAACCACCTCTATTTATAGTGAGCATTTCGCAGACCTCACTCTCTGGAGTGCCTAAAATTGATATGCAATCTATTCAATCAAATACTGTCACACCCTAACAGAAGTAATTTGATGCCCAAATTTCATTAACTTTGATTAACTTGAACTTGATTTTATTGACTTGATTGGCTTAATTGATTTACCTTTATTAGTTTCATTAAGGCACCTACTTTTGATCAACTGCTCTTTTAGTCCTCATAAGTATTCCAAGTTGGGGATTATCCGCGTAGAGTTAGTTATACCTGCACAAGAAATGCCTGGCTGACGACAAAAAATCAGCCTGAGGTACAGGGTGATGTCTCGTGTGATTGCGAAGCACAACTACACACAATATCCCTTCAAACTCTGGATTTCACCAAAAATGCTGTGGGAATTTTTTAAGCAGCAGCGCCTGAATCTCTGCAAGAGGACCTGATTTCAACACTATTTTCTCTGTTTGTGTCTGCTCAAATCCATACGCTTCAAATTGCTCTTTCCATATTGACAGCATTCTGAGACCACATTTTGCTTCTAGTGCATTTTACACTAGCAACTGTTTCCGTCGTTTTATCAGTCGATTGCTGGTAGTGAAAGCACCTAAATCGAGAGCTATGGCGACTGTCTCAAAAAGCTATCACGAAGAGAAAATCGATCCAGTGGTGGACTACTGCAGCAGGGTAAATTTTTTCAACTAGTGCCACATTTTGTGCTTTTACGTAGTAGATTTATCAAAATTTAAATGAAAGATGAATTAGTACATTAAGAGTAAATGAAAGAGAATATTTTCCTTCGTTGAAATTGTGGCAATTGAGTTCGCGATGAAAGATGAGGAATTTTAGTAGTAAGACTATTGCACAAGGATTGCACTAACTCTGCATATCTTCTAGCTGACTGTACGACAGCACCCACTGCAAAAAGAGCTCCAGGATTATACTCTCAAAAACGTCCCATCGGCTTTTATGTTGGGAGCTCCAGAGGTACATTTCGTCTTATTTTTTGTGTCAAATTTCTCGCTCTCATTGAGTACGTTTCTCGCAAACAAATCAGTACGAAACGAGTAAAATTTATCGAGAATAAATTCAGGTTCTTACCGTTGGATCAAATTTTATACATCTGATTAGTGGCAAGAAAGTGCTTGATATTGGAACGTTCACTGGTGCTTCAGCTCTTGCATGGGCGCTAGCTGTTGGTGAAGAAGGAATGTAAGATTCCATGTTACCTACTAATCGGATTGGTTTTCCTCATAGCCTGAGATATCGTTTTAGGTCTACACTTTGGATATATCTCACGAGTGTTTTCACGAAATATGGCCGTACCGATTATTTCCAAAAATGTAGAAATCTTCAAGAAGATCACACCCATCCAGAATCCAGCCCTCGAAACACTGGGTTTTGATTTTCCAGTAATCTATCAACAGCCGATGGATCGCGGATGGTAGATACAATTTGATCCACACGATCGACTGTTTTCTAACTTCGCAACAATTATTCAGTATAATCTGTGAGAATGTTTAAAGCCTTACCGAGGTTGTTACGTTAGGGCCATACACGTGTTTTGAAGGTGTCGCCCTCTTCATCAGTGGCTTAGGGCCCCGCAGAACCCTACTTCGTAGCAGGGAGGGAGACGTATGTGGTGGTAACACAACGTACACTGACATTGTGTTAGCACCATTTTCACTCGATGGATCACGGCTGCTAGATATAAAGTGGTCCACATCATCGCGTGCTTTTGAACCTCTCATTAAACATTCAGTGCAGTCTATGAGAGCAACACATGAGAACACAATTTCATTGTACGTTGTGTTACCACTACATACGTCTCCCCTTTCTGCTACAAAGTAAGGTCTGTGGGACGTAGGCCATTGATGAAGAGGGCGATACCTCTGAAACACGTGTATGGCTCTGACGCATCAACCTCGATAACGCTTCAAACATTCCCACAAATTATAGTGAATCTATTAACAACAGAATCTTATACAACAAGCAGTCTTTCAGATAAAATGATAGCCAACGGAGAGCATGAATCATTTGATTTCGCTTTTATTGATGCCGATAAGGTAAAGCATAAGCATTCAACAACGTAGAGCTCTATATAATTCATGCTTGATAAATTTTTGCTTACAGGAAAATTATCCCCTTTATTATGAACGAGTAGTCACTTTATTGAGGAAGGGTGGTGTGGTGCTGATTGACAACGTGAGTACAGGTTAACACAATACTTCTGAGATGTAATTAAAGCACTATCATACGGTGCATAAAATTTAAGGCATTGCGGCGTGGATTAGTAGCTCAACATCCCTCCACTTTTGATGAGGAGACTACTGCAATAGATGAAGCAAACAGGAAGGTTAGGAATTTTCAGGTTATTTTTTTGTTAGAAACCACTTTTTTAAGTACTCCACACTGAAATGAGTTATATGAATAAATTTCTTTCAGATTTTCTTAGACGATCGAACTCACTCTGCACTTCTAAATTGTGGAGATGGCATCCACATTGCCTTCAAAAAGTGATTTATTGAAGCAAAACTATCTGAATTGTTTAAAAGTTGCCTTATAATGTATGTGCAGAGTATTCTTGTGAATCTCTAATAACAACTGTTGAAATGCTGTGATGTAATGATCGAGAGGAACGAAGGAAAAAAAATAATATCATCATGTCAGCCATTTTGTGCATTTACACATCAACGGATGGCATCAATGGTAAGATTTAGATTGTATATCAAAATTATAGTAAATCTGCTGCTATTTTCGCAGTGTTATGGAGTTACTTATATAACTAAGAGAACTGAGTGGTGAGCAAAAACACCGGCCTCACGCGGGAATAGAACCCGCGTTTCATCCTATCAGGGGACGTGTGCCTCTACCACTACACCACCGAGGCACATTTGCCCGACCACTCATTAATCAACATCTTTTTTTGCTCACCACTCAATCCTCTTAGTTTAGATTGTATAGTCGCGAGATACAACATAGAAATGGACTCGAAATGACCATAGTAGTATGACATCTAGTTTCAAAATACAGTGATGTGCCAAATGAATAAAATGAGGGCGATGCAGTCCGACATAAACACAGAACTTTAGCGTAAATATAAAGGAGATTGGTTTGCCCTGAGGCCTCGTTTTCCGCTAAATTTTTGAGAGATTTTTTTACCTCACTCTTCAAGCGTGCAGGCTTTCTAATAATAGCATCTACTTGTATTACTAATTTTTAAGCTTTCTTGGAGTTGGAAAACATCTCGCCTACGTACCCATGATTAGAAAAATATTTCTTCCAGAAATTTTTTGAATGATCATACTACATGCATTCACATGCTATGGGCCCCAGATAAACGCCTGTGCAGGCAAAAATCTTGTCTTTTTATCTGTAATTGACAAAGTCTCTAGACTAGTCTGGACGAGTTGACGTCTTTCGCACACACTTCATCACTTCACAATGGTCCAATTACAGACATAATGAGAAACTTGATAACGCGACAACTCCTGAGCAACATTAGTCAGCGACACCGTCAAGAGCCTGATAGGGTGTTAAAAGCCTTTTAGCGGTCGAGCATGGTATCTCTAGTGGTAGACGCACGTTTCGGTGTCTCCTCGCACCTCATAAGTACCACGTGCTATCAGTTTCACTTCTAAAACTGATGGTAACGGCGTCAAAGATGTATCACTTCACTGCAAGTGGAGAGATAGTATTGCGGTCTAGCTTTTTTTTTTTGAACGAGGTCACACATGGTCGCTTAGTAGGTATTGCAATATGTCATGTTTATTGGCTGTGAATCATCGACTGAAAATCACTGTACACGCGCAACATCAAGTGATCTTTTCACTTCACTTGGAGCCGCTACCATTAGTTATAGAGATGAACCGAAAAGCATGTGGTTCTGATGAGGCGTGTGAGAACGCCAGAACGTACGTCTACCACTATGATGCTATACCAGATCTCTGAAAGGATATAAGGCCATTTTTTTAAGGCGAGGTTTGAACATAGTCGGTTGGAAGATAATCTAAAGAGCCTTACGCGAAAATTGAAAGAGGAAATGTCAGGATGTAAGCCGATGGCCAACAATCATGCAACAAAAAAGTAGTGCTCTTTATTTACTTTCTTAATCCTTCGTTATCTCATCGATTGAACAAAAAAGAATTCTGTGTGAGCAAAGTCTGTACATGATATTACCCCGTTGGGGACAACTACAGAAGTAGCTGCACGCAGAACTATTTGCAAAACGGTAACGATTTTCATGACTTAAATAAGGTTATTCTCTTCGCTTTGGAGAACTTGCTGGGTTTTCTCATTTCACTTGATCAACCACGATTTATTCACACTTTCATACTCTTTTGGAGCACGACTTTGTTAATTTCCGTGAATTTTTTATAGCGCACATATGTGGAGAGGAGTCGGAAACTTTCGCGTTACGGAAGAATTGTGTACGAAGAGTTACAGAAGTTTTAGGAAAACTAGTAGTACTAAATTTCATTAACTCATTATCATCATTCGATATTCAATGCCTTAGTAGTGCTCTTTTGGAACTGATCGACTGAAAAGTTTCCGAGTCTATTGACCTTACCAGGCTCCGAAGAACGGAAACTCCGAAACTCCAGTTGGTAATATGCTGTACAATGTCCCATGTTTTTTGGGAACATTGATAAAGAGTTAATCGCCGGGTGGTCAAGGAAGATGCCGTCACTCAAAATCCTAACGTGTTTGTAATGACGACGGAAGATGGTCGAGGTCACGTAATGCTCAATATCAGCAAAGAGATTGACCGTGGAAATCAACAATCGCAGTACTCGAATTGCACAAGACAGGAATGAAAAGGACCCACATTGTTAAAATCGTGTGGTTTCAAACCAGCAAGTGTGTACAAAACTGTAGAGCGCTTCAATGAGAATGGAGAGATTGAGGACCATCCTCGAAAAGTTCGTTCAGCTACCTCGTCTACTCTGAAAGACATTCAGGAGATGCTATGCTAAACTCAACAAAATCTGGAGCTTTCGATGTGAAAAACAGCTTTAGAAGTTTGGAATTAGCGACAGGAGCATCTCAAACGTTGTCAAAAATAAGCTGAGGTGCACAGCTGCAAGATCTCTCGTGATTACTTTATGGACAGAAATATGAGGAAAGAACACTCTCCGAAGGCTCCCCGAATAATCCGTTTGATCGCTGGTAGTCGTTTGTCGACTCTGCTTTTTACTGATGAGAAGATATTCAAGGTCGAATCACTCCGCCATAGCCAGAATCGACGTCGACTTTCAAAAAGGGTTAGCAGAAGTCTGTAGTAGCAAAAACGTTGAGCCGCAGTCATTTCCCTACCTCTGTGTTGGTCTGAACCGGCATTTGCTGCACCGCAAAGACACCGTTGATCTTCATTAAGGGAGACATCGATATCAACGCTGCGAGCTATCACCAGCAAGCTTCACGGGGCGTAGTGGAGCCTTGACTCTGGCGCTGACGGATTTACCTTTAACAGGACTGGGCTTTTGCGCATTTGGCCCGTCAACGATTGCCATCCGTCAAGAGCGGCTCGCAGACATTTGCCGCAAGGACAATTAGTCATCGTACTCGCCGAATCTTTGCCCACTGAATTACGCCGTGTAGTCCATCCTGGAAGACAAAGTCTCGGCTACTCTTTGTGCTAGCGTTGGTGAGCTTGAAACGGCTTCGATTCGCATTTGGGAGGAAATTACATTGGGAACTTATGCGAACGTTGTTGGAAATTTTGCAAACGACTTCGTAAATGCTTGGAGGCCCAAGGAGACAATTTTGAAATATCGTTACTAAGTTTTTTCGCTTATTGTTACAAGTTTTGGTTTGATAAACGTAATTACTTCTTGTATTATGTGAATTCATTTGTTTATGCAGTATTTTTCCTACTGTTACACTATCTTCTTAAACTTTTCTGTATAGCTGCCAAAGTACCCGTTCCGATGTTCAAATAACGCGCTAATTACACTGAAAGTAAGACGTTATCTCCTTTTCATTAGCAGAGCACAATATAAAAATCTTTTCTATAGAACAAGTCTTGTGTAAAAATTGAAACTTTCCAAGCTATCGATAACTACGATAATGTAGGTGAAATATGAGAAAAAAAATAAAATGCGGTTGGAAATGAGTTCCTTCTTGGAAGACTGTGCTTTTCTCATGAAAGCATGGCAAATTATTTGACACATAACCGTTCAATATCAATTAGGAACACCTTTATATTCCCTCTGTAACAATAAATCTCTCTGGAGAAATGAAGTGCCTCCGGCACATAAATGTCACTTATAAGCACCAACTGTCCCTTCGCGAAGCTCGAGCGATGGGCTAACTACGACGAGTGTGAGACGTAAATTCTCACTATGGGAACGTCACAACAGAGCTTTTTGAGAACTGGCGATGTGAGGTTGTAGCCTGAAGTCTCAGCTTTCGAATGGTTACTAACACTCCGATGAAAAATTCCTCTCCACCGAATGAGCTCGGTTTTTCATTTCCCCCCCCCCCCCCCCTTATAATCACCAATAATCTAATTTTATTTTCGCTGCTTCAACGCATGAAAAAGAACTTTTCCCAGAACCTAGTACATAGCTAAAACCGCCGAAAATTCAAGCCTTCGAGTAATTATTGAAAGTTTAAGAAAAAAGTTCTGCATAGCGCAGAAGATCTTTGCGCAATCGTATATCAATAGAGGCATGTGTCATCTCGAACGCGTGATCTGAAGATTTCTTGAGAAATTGGTACTCTAGGTCTCTGTATCCTCTGTGTAACGGAATGCAGCGCTCAGAATTAGACCGCAGAGCGATGCTCAAGGACAGTAGGATATGAGCAAAGATATGAGCTTTCATATGATTTAGGTGCTTTGGCGTCCGAATGGCAGCTGTCGAATAAGAAGGATTGGTGTCGGGCGTACAATAGAAATAACACCAGTCAGTCTTTTTGGTAAAGTCCTAAGTAGTAATATCATCATTTTCACTTTTTCTGAGCTACCAATTCACTATTATCATTCATCCACTGACGTACAAGGCCGGAGATTTATTGAGTGTAGTGCGCGCGAGAGAATAAAGTGAAAGAAATGCATTGCATTCATTTTATCACCTTTTTGGTCAAACCGAGCCTTTTCACTGCACTTTATACTCAATCGATAACTTTTTGTGCAATTACAAATTTACAGAAAGCGCCCTGATAGTACATGGTTTTAAGGGAAAATACTGAACTGGACAAAAATTCTGAGAAACATTCCATGTATTTCTGGGTGAAAATTGCAAAAAACGTTTCACTGCATTTGACGTTCAAGGTTTGGAAATGTTTGCTCGTTGCGACAAGGTGGTCATTCACCTGGAAGATTACTTCAAAATATACACTTTGATTTTGAACGTAAGTGCAACTTTCAAATGCAATATGACACTACTTACAGAGACGACGTCTTTAAGTCATTCAACAAGGTTTCTTTCTTGTTACACACTTTAAACCTATGCCCACAAATTTCTTTGTCAGATTTTGTCCTTCAAAACCTTGAACTTTGATGATTTGACGAAAATTGTCTGTTCATGAGCCTCACAGAACATAATATCAGTCCTGTTCTTTTGCTCCAACACATGAACTCCATTGCCCCCATTTTTCCTTTTCTAGTTGTGATAAATGACTCAGTAGAAGTCCTTTTCTACTCTACCAAAGGGTAACAATTGTTATTTTGCACTGCTACACATTCACGTCTGCACAAAACTGCACTTTTGCCTTGTCCAGTTGAATCATGATGCATACCGTGCTTTGACACTTCAAGAATGGCTTTTAAATGTCAAAACAACAACTTCAGCAAATCTATTCATACGAATTTAAGCTCGATCATAATGGAACGCAAGCAGCTTGAGCGATTCTTGAGGTATTGATAAAAAATAACTGTTAACAAAG